TGAGATATATCTCCTGTAGGCAACAAATAGATGGGTTTTGTTTTTTGATCCGGTCCATTAACTTACAGCATTTCATTGATGAGTTTAAGTCATTTATATTCATGGTTAATATGAATAGCTGGTAAATTTGTTCTGTCATTTTAGCAATGGGTTGTTTATTGTTTCATTTAGTCTTTTGTTATTATTTTACTGTGATGTTCTTCACATTTGCTTTTGGTTTTCGTGGGTGCTATTCCTTTGTTTTGTTAAGGGAACATCTTTAAATATCATTTGTATGGCAGGCTGGAAGGGTGTATTCTTTGAGGTTTTCTCTACTGTGAAAGAATTTTATTTCATTTTCAAAGACAAAGGAAAGCTTTGCTGGGTGTGTTATTCTGGGCCAACAAATTTTTTTAACTTTTAGAATCAGGAATATGTTGTTCCATGCTCTTCTGGCCTGTAGAATTTCCTGTGAGAGGTCTCAGCTGTGAGTCTGATTGTTGCTCCTCTATATGTCACTTGATCTTTTTCATAAGCACATTTAAGGATCTTTTTCTTATGTTCAACTGAAGAGAGCTTGATTATCATGTGTTGTAAAGATCACTTTTGGTCAACCCTGTTGGGAGTTCTGTGTCCCTCCTAGATGTCTTTTCCCAATTCTTTCTCCATATTAGGGGTGTTTTTCTTTTTTATTTCATCAAATACATTTTTAAACACAGCTTCTCTTGCTGTGCCTTCTGAAACTCTCATAACTCTTATATTTGGTCTTTTAATAATGTCTCTTAATTCTTGAATACTTTTTTTTTTTTTTAGTTTGACCCAGCTCTGCTTCCAAATTTTTGATTGTTTCCAAATTATGACTAGAAATAAGTTCAATTCTGAGATTCTTTCTTCTGCCTCCTTCATTCTATTATGGAGACTTTCCACTGAATTTTAAATTTGCTCTATTACATCTTTCATTTTCTTTCTTTTTTTTTTTTAAAGATTTATTTTTATTATTTTTTTCATTGGAAAGGCGGATATACAGAGAGGAGAGACAGAGAGGAAGATCTTCCGTCCGATGATTCACTCCCCAAGTGAGTGCAACGGGCCGATACTATGCCGATCTGAAGCCAGGAGCCTCTTCTGGGTCTCCCACGCAGGTGCAGGTTCCCAAAGCTTTGGGCCGTCCTCGACTGCTTTCCCAGGCCACAGGCAGGGAACTGGATGGGAAGCGGGGCTGCCGGGATTAGAACCGGCGCCCATATGGGATCCCAGGCGTGCAAGGCGAGGACCTTTAACCACTTGCGCCACCGCGCCGGGCCCATACATCTTTCATTTTCAATAATTCTACTTGCTTTTGTTTCAGTGTTGCTATTGCCCATGTGACATATTGCTTAAATTCCTTGAACTGTGTATGTTTCTCATTGTTGATAAGAAGCTTTATAACTAGTTTTCTGAATTGTTTCCCCCATTTTCTCAATGTATTCCTCAGTGAACTCTGAGGTTGGCAAAGGCTTTTGCTCCTTTGCATGGGACTCTTCAGTAACAATCAGTGTGCCTCTGTCTTTTCTTGTGCTCTTGGTCTTTGTACTTCTGGTGATCAGATTCTTCTCCTTGGGGCAGGTTTCTAAACTCTGTCACACACAGGTCTACAGTTCCATTTTACTTATTGCAGTTGGCACATGGCTCTTTGTTTGCAGTCACTTGTGTCACTCCCTCCAGTGAGTTTCAGATCTGGGTTCTTGTGTTAGACTTCCAGCATGGTCTCTGAAGCCCCAGCTCCTGGCTCACCACTCTCCACTTCCTGTGATCTTGTGCTGAGGCTGTACCATTGTATGTACAGCCCACTTCCAGTTGGAGCAGGTCCCAGGATTAGGGAGACACCAGGTGTCCTAAATACCTAGGTTGTTGTTGGTGGTAATCTTGCCAGAACCTGCTGGCCATTAGGTCTGAGGACCACATGGACCTGTTTTGACTCATAGGATGCCGAAGTTGGTACTATTTTCCCTATGGGACCAGTGCATGGAACTGAACTAGAAGTTCAGTTCACTCTAATTTAGCACATTCACAGCTTGCTGTTGTCCATCCAATCTCAACTTTTACCACACTGTACAAAATGGCACCTGATGTGCCACTCATAGAGTTCTTGATCTGCTGGCTGTTAAGTCTGGGGCTTACCCAGACCCATTTTGGGTGAAACCTATGGGATGACATATAGTTGCAATGCCCTTAACCAGAAATGAGTTATCTTCCAGCTTGCTGCATGCAAAATTCTGTCCTGTAGCCTTTGTTTCCTTACACAAAATGGCACCTAATTTGTGTCTGGTGGGGGTCTGGACTGTCAGTTGCACTCTGTTTCTACATTGAATGTTTGGGATATGCTGCTGTCTCTCTACTTCTGGCCAGGTCAAACAAATCAGCGGGACAGTCAGTTCTTTGTCTGGGTTCACCTGCAGAACTCCCAATGACCTCCCCTTCCCACCTGACTGCTGGTGGGGCTTCCGCCACTGGTGGATCTCAGATAACAGCTCACTGACTGCCGATGGGGTCACTGCAACACCACACCGTTGTCTCTGCTGCTTTTCTGTGTCTGTTAGTCTCCAGGTGGCCCTCTGGTGTAGGTCTGTCCTCTCCTGGAATATGAGGGAGGGAAAGAGAGAGAGAGAGAGATTGTGTGTGTGCAAGTAGGGGAGAAAGAAAGAGAAATAGAAACAAAGAGAAAGATGCTCAATTTTTGGTTCACTCCCCCAGATAGCTGGATTGAGCCAAACTGACGCCAGGAGACAGGAGCTTCTTCCTGGTCTCCATCATCAGTAGGTGCCCTAGTACTCAGGCCATCTTCTGTTGATTTCCTAGGTGCATTAGCAAGGACCTGGAATAAAAGTAGAGCAACCAGGACTTGAACCAGAGATCACATGGTATGCTGGTACAGCATGAAGTGGCTTAAACTGATGTTCACAGTGCTGTTCCCTCATTTGCCTTAATTTATGAAGGATTTTTGCATACTGACACTGAAATGTGGATTACAAAGTAGAATGTAATGGTGAACGAATATAGGCAGTGGTAAGAAAGATATGTGATAACTTGATTTATATATTTTCTTTGTATATATAAGGAAAATGAGAAGCCAAAACTGCTTATATTATGACTCATATATTCAGAAACTGACACCAATTTAGAATATAGGTTATTCTAGAACAAACACTCTCATCTTTCTATTTATTCATTCTTTTCCTACCTTTAGACAGAAAAATAGGAAAGAAGTTACTGTGGTCAGAATGAGCCCGATAATCAGTCTAATCAGATGATTATAAACTATCAAAAAAAAATCCAAGTTGAGAGTAAAGGTTGGTGACAGAGGTAAATTTCGTAAGCATATTCAGAATTTCTGCAGAGAGAAAAAGAATGTGCTACACAGTCAAAATACTGATTTTTTGGTGTGTATTTATAGCAATATGAAAATCTTATTTCTTTAGGCCCAGACATGTACTGTCTGGTAGATTAAGAAATCATTAATTAAAAACATATCCATACTTAATCATTTTATATCTTTATTTATCATGATGAGAATATGTATACATATATAAATATATCATGTCCAGTATTTCTTATATTGAGTAATAATTTAAATTTTATTTTTAGAGTTAATTTAGCTATAATGTTGTTTCATAAGTGACGAGAATCTTTGTTTCTTTGTTAGGTTTAGCACACCTCAGTATTATAGGCAGTCTTGAATATCTCAGAACACAGAAGAAAATTTGCTTCGTTCAGTTAAATCATTTTTATCACATTTCCTTAAAAAATCCTCTCATTCACTGATGACATGCTCTTATTTGGGGACCGTGTTTTTTTTTTCCTTGAAAAATACACATGATTTTCTGGTTATAAATATCTTTCTGAGTTTCTGAAACATTTTTAAATATTTGAAATATGTCAAATCCACACAAGGTTTAAAATGCAGTATGTGAATTTCCTTTTGGATAGTACATTTCCTTAGGAAAATATTGTCCTAAAATTTTTTTTTTCAAAATCAATTGTTTCTTTCTCTGAAAATAACATGAATCAGTTTGTGTTAAATGAAACTTGAATCATTACTATGTCTTTAACTGAGCTTATCTCTTTAACACTTGAGAGAAGTTGTGTTGATATTAATAAATCTGTTTCTTTCTCTCCCTGTTTTTCTCAGTTCGTTGGTGGTAGTGTGATAGCATGGTTTACTTTTGTCTTTTAATTTAAGCCACAATGGCAAACTTGGGAATTATTCTTTCTCTCTCTCTCTCTCTCTCTCTCTCTCACTCTCTCTCTCTCTCACACACACACACACACACACACACACACACACACAATCTTTAGGTTTACCAGGGAAAGATGTACTACCACTCAATTTAAATAAGCTGAGTGTCTTGCAGGAGGATGGGTACTCTCCTTGGGATTGCAGTAGAGTGATGGGCTTGCAGTAGGGTGATGTTTGTTGAGACATTGTGACTTCTGAAGTGAGGAAGCTGCCTCCATTGCAGCAAAGTCATGAGTGCATCCATAATGGTTTTAGCAAAACTGAAATCACAATCACAATCAAGGGATTAAACCAAAATTCTGTCAGAGCAGAGTTCACAAATGAAGCTTTTTTTTTTTTGGTTGCAGTTGTTGTGTTGTTTCTGTTTTTATTTTGGTCCTTTCGTGGTCACTGTTAATATTCGGGTAAATCCAGATCCCTAAAAACTTAAGCTCTTGATAATTGTGATCTTTGAGACATTATGTCACTGTTTTCCAAATTGTTCCACTTTCCATTGTTGGGGAAATATCTTGTTGGCTATCCACAGGTGGCAGCATCGCAGGTATAAAAACAAATCATGTATGAATTTGATGCTTTGCTTCTTAAGTGTAAAGAATTATTTCCTAATTTATGTCTATTAGATACTTTTCAACCATCCACAGTTATTGCAAATGGGTAAGGCCACAGTTTGTTGCCTGGTAAGTGATGTAGATGGTTGCCATTTTTAACAGTCATCATGAGGTCATGTCTGTTTCCATGCCAACAGATCCTCTTGGGAGAGTATATTCAGTAAAAGCCCAGAGGTGGTGACTCCTTTGCAGCTCCAGTGTTGCCAGCGCCTGGTTGAGCTTTGTAAACAGTGCCTGCTAGTGGTTTACAAGCATACAACTGACACCAGAGGATCACTCTCGGGCTTTGCTCCTGACTGGGGTAATTCCAGGTACTTGTTTACATTCTCTGTTCCCAGCGAGTTTTACATAAAATGATGCTACAACACTGTGTGCTGTTCGGAGTTTCTTTTTGCTTGCATGGCTAGAGAGAAAGCTGAATTCTGCAATCCTTATTTATAAGGCACTGATCATGGACAGTAATCATAAGCCTAAAGGATACAAAGAGTATATGCATAGAAATGAGATTGTTTGGGTTGTGTAATTTTGCTTTCAAATGCGACATAAAAGCATCTAACAGAGTACTAAATTTTATTTTTAGTCCTTAACAATAATAGGTTGGTATTGATTCTCAAACCTAATACAGTCAAGAAACATACCCTTGACTTAATTTTTATTGTTCCACTAGACTTCTATTACACTTTCTCATCATAAAACAAATATGTAGAATGGGTTTTCTGACATATTTAAATGTTAAATTTTATCAAAGTCATCCAACTAAAAAAGTCTTTGCAAGGCACACAAAGCTGTTTTTAGCTGAAAACATAGAACAAAAAAGAGATAAATTTTAACATTTCTCAACACAATTGTAGTTGTCATAAAGATGAGTATCTAACTTTTAATTTTCATATGTGTAAGTTTTACTATTCAGGATCGAACAAATTATAACTTTGAAAAATAATGATGCTTTAAAAAGTCCACTGCTAATTGAATAAGCATTGAGGAAAATGAAACAACTGTAGCTTCAATTTTCTTTGTGAAAGATCTACACATTGCAGTTTACTATGAAAATCTCATGGAGTTCAATAAACCTTTCCACAGAAGGAGCTTGCACTAGCAGCATGGCTCAAACTGTTTTCTGCAAAATAATTGAGATGAATTTTTAATCTTTGCCTTGCTTCTGTCCTTGTGTTGGAGGTCTTCTAACCTATTATAACTGTTTTGCAAATAAAAACATCGATCACAGACATAGTAGAGGTAAAATTAACCATTAGTGTAGAAAAATCATAAATGTCTCAATTAGTCTAAAGTTTTAGTGATTTAACTGAAGTAAATTATTGAAATAAAACTTTTATTACTTTCATTATCACTTTGGTGTGACTTAAAAGACCAATAGGTATATTTATACATCATAACATAAGTAAATAAGTAGCCTTCATTTTAAGGATTGATACTCTGTGAGCATGCAAGAATTTGTCCTAAAGCCTTAGTGTAGCTTCAGTGTTATTCAGTTTTGATAAAAGAGCTTGTAGCTTTAGTGGATAGGTAAAATAGGTTGTCTTCCTGGTTATGCTAGAGCAAAGAGTTGTATCTTGCAGTTGCCTCAGACCATTTTTATTTTCTTTGCCTCCTGATGCCTCGTTCTGATAAGTGCTCAGAATAAACCCAGTATAAGTGACTATGAGCACTCTGACTTCCCTGACTTCTGTTTAACTGGAGAGTGATTTGATAAAGAAATATCAAAATCAGACTGTGATCATCAACATACAGTCTATTATTATCAAAGTTACATTGGTAGGGAGTAATGTAGCATTGATGTGGGCCAAGTGGTTTTCTAATGTTGATTTCTAGAGTTAAACTTGTCCACCCCAAACCGAGCTGGATTCACCCAAAATTCTGTTGCTACAAACCTATGAATGCTGTTTTCTTGAGCACTAGCACACAAAGACTAAGAATGCTCTTTCTGCAACAAGGCTGAGTCAGAAAGAGAAAGGTTCTTTTGAAGCCCGCAGTTTGAAGAACTCAGTTCTGGAAAGAAACCAAGAGATTTACACCAGCGGAAATTTTCTTATATGGAAGCACTTTGCAGAGAGGAAAATCAACCTTGCTTCCTGATAGTGTCATGTAAATTTAAAAACATGTAAAAAGTGGCCATGTTTTTTTTCTTTTCTGTGTAAGGACACTTGTAGCATTTTATTCTTCACATGAATGTCACTTGATATCTCTTAGTAGATTAATACATTTTATTTGTAAAATATACTTGGTATAAATCCACATATAATGTGACTATATAACATTAATATATAACACTTATAAGTAAATACTCTTGACATAAATAATTTATGAGGATTTTGGCTAACTTATCTGTAAAGGTAATATCGGATTTGTAGAGTATGCTTCTCTTCACCAAAGAACTGTGGAATATTTCTTTTTTTTAAAATTTTATTAATTGTATTACATTATGTGACACAGTGTTATGGGCACTGGGATTCCCCCCACCCCTCCCCGAACCCTCTCCCCATAGTGGATTTCTCCACCTTGTATTACCACAGTTCAAATTCAGTTGTGGTTCTTTCATTGGAAATATTTACCAAGCATAAAGTCCAGTGTCTTATTATCCTAGTGGGTTCAATGATTTCTTGGTGAGACCATCTCTGGTCTGAAGGTAAAGCCAGCTAAGCATCATCCCAAACGATTAAAGGCCCCGACATGACCTCAACAACCATTTACAACCTCCTGGCATCAATTGACATGACATTGATTAATAGTATGTTGATGGGGAAGATGCAGTTTCTTAACTACATCATGTGACTTCTTCATAGACATTTCAATTTTGGTTTGTATTCAACCTGATTCCATACAGTTATCCGTTTAGGTACAATACATTTTTTTTTTTTTAAATTTAGGATGGGTGTGCAGAGAAATCTCCAATACCCCAGTGAGGCGTTACTCATCTTTGTGTCCCACCTAGTGAGGCCTGTTTGGGTCAACGCTGGGCTTTTCCTGTCTGATTCTAAGCTTTCCGTGTTGTTGTCTGTCCGTTCTAGATTTTTTGTTTGTATGTATATTTGTTTGTTTTGAGGGGTTACTGGAGCGATCTTAATGGTCACCGTGAGGGAGGGTGGGGACCCAGAGCCAGAGCCAGGCTAGGACCAGAGAGAGCTTGCCTCCTTATTCCCAGAGGGAGTTTATTATTCTTCTGTTTCTGCAGATCGCTCAGGGCTCCTGGCCATCGTTCTGATGGCGCTGGTTTCTGTACTGCAGAATTTGGACTTCTTCCATCCCCTGTGGAGGCTCCAGATGGGGGTGGGTCACCTCAGAGTTCTCGGTCTCCGAAGGCACTCCTGTTCCCCGTGGTCTCCTTAGCGGTTGGGATGTAGTCCTTGGTATCCGTGTTGACGGTCCTTGGTGAGGATCTGGGAGTCTTCAGGGTTGGGATGCAAGCCTCCTCCTTACCTCCCACTCCACTCTGGGATCTCCACCCTGCCCCATATGCATGACCCCCTATTAAGAGGCTTTCAGGGTCGCTCCCGATTCCCCCCCTTATGCCTGTGTAGCTTTACAATTGTCTAGTGCCGATTCGAGTCTGTTGTCTGTGGGTTATCAGATTTGATCCTGATAGGCTATGTTTCACGTCTTTGTGGAATATTTCTTAAGAGGCTTTAAAAACAATATGGCATCTATTGCATGAATAACAGTGTTCTTCCACACCAAAGTCCCAGAAAAAAAAATTTCATAGATGCACCAAGAGAGAAGCCATTGCTCAGTGGTAGATTCATTGTGACTGACAGATGAAATGAATAGTTGAACTCAGCATTCAATTAGGAATATGTAACTGATATATCCCAAGGACATTGGAATTCTTTTTTTTTTTTTAAAGATTTATTTATTTATTGGAAAGTCAGATACACAGAGAGGAGAGACAGAGAGGAAGATCTTCCGTCCGATGATTCACTCCCCAAGTGAGCGCAACAGCGGATGCTATGCCGGTCCGAAGCCAGGAGCCAGGAACTTCTTCCAGGTCTCCCACATGGGTGCAGTGTCCCAAAGCTTTGGGCTGTCCTCGACTGCTTTCTCAGTACACAAGCAGGGAGCTGGATGGAAAGTGGGGCTGCCGGGATTAGAACCGGCGCCCATATGGGATCCCAGGGAGTTCAAGGCGAGGACTTTAGCTGCTAGGCCACGCCGCTGGGGCCCAACATTGGAATTCTTAGGATGAGCTTCATAGTTCACTGTCTCAAGGCTTACTTGAGAGGTCAGGTGAACCCCAACCATTTTTCAACCTCAGCATAACTTGTTCCTGTTTCTTGTGCATTGGCATTTCATATAAGGTCATTTTACAAGGAAATATATTACATTTTTAGAAACCACCAAGTTAATACTTCTGCTTTTTGCAATAGAGCACTAGATTTTGCATAAATTCTTCCTTCTGTGAGAAAATATCAAAGTATGTGCTTGAGGACACTGGAGGATTAATCGGGTGCTTGTTTGTGAGCACTTGTTAACACCAAGGCAGGCTTTGACAGTCTGGTGGGGTTAAGAGAAATAGTCCAGGCCTTCTAAAGAATTTTAAGAGTGTAAGTACCTCAGATGATTTGACAAATTTGAAGAATTAAAAGGGAAGAGTATGACACATCTCTAACATTAGAGGGGGCTTTCATAAGTCATTTCACAGAAAAAAAATCAGCAAGATGCAGGAAATTTGAATAAAATAATTAATGGACAGCTATCCTACATAGAAGTGACTCAACATCAGAATTCAGTACATTCAGCACAAGAGGAACATTTAAAAAACTAACCAGGTAGTAGAATAACAAAGTAACTTTCAACTAATTTTAGAAGATTAAAATAATGCAGGGAATATTTTCAAAAATATACTTGTTTATTTGAAAGGCATAGTGAAACAATAAGGGAAGGAGAAAGACAGAAGAAATATTTTCCTTCTACTGAGTCACTCTCCCAGTGGCTACGATGACCAGGAGTGGGCAGGCCAAAGCTGAGAGCCTAGCTATTCCCTCTGGGTCTCTCACAAGTTAGGGACCGGTGTGCTTGGGTCATCTTCCTCTGCTTTCCCATGTGCATTAGCAGGGAGCTGGAGTGAAGCCAAGCAGACCAGGGCTTGAACCAGCACCCTGAAATGGGGTGCCAGAGTCGCAGGGGACGGCTTAACCTGCTGCACAGAGCACTTATTCTGTCCCCAATGGTTTTGCACCTTCTAGTGTATAATAAGTAAGAAATCCATGTGTAAACCTCAAAATAAATTTTATATGACTAATGAATCAAACATGAAATCATAATACACATAGAAAGATTTTAAACTCAATCTCAGAAA